TTTTGTAGGGGCATTTTATTGCCACTTTTCTTTTTTCAAGGCTAGTAGAGAATCAGAAGTTATGCTGGATGAAGAGAGAGGGGAAATATTTTCCACTTTATTCCTGGAGGCATCTGACTTGCTACTTCTCTCATCCATAGAGGCAAATCAGAAATGTGTGCACAAGCACAACTAAAGACAAATTTATAAAGTCAAAATAATGTCTGTTTATTATTTTGTGCTTTCCTTCTCCTGTTTTAGGGGATTTATTCTGATTTAGGGGATCATTTCTAAGCAATCTATTTTGAGCCAGCCTTTCTAAGGCTTTTCTGGTTGGAAAGGGTTTAGAGCAATGACTGATAGCAGCTTAAATGCCTTCCCTCTTCCAGCAACATTTGAATTTTAATTAGATATTCACAGCCCTAGAATTTCAGAGATTGGTGAGAGTAAGCTCAAAATCTATATTTTATGGGTGGAGACATGAGGACTCTGAAAGGGTAAGTAAAGAGTAAGGTAAATTCTTAAAGACAGAAAAAGTCTTTGAGAGCAAAAAGACTGAATACTGTATCAGTGATACTTTAACCCGTGACAGATTGTGTGTGTGTGTGTGTGTGTGTGTGTGTGTGTGTTATTTTGTGTGAGTAGTGGGGAAGGGGACAAGTATATGGGGTCTTTCTGAGATGTCATGTGGAAATTAGAGCTGGAATAAACCCCTAAAGCCAAGTCAAACCCCTAGATTGTACAAATGAAATTGCAGAGAACCTTATTGGTAAAGTAACTTAACCAAAGATTACACAGCTATTTAGTTGTAGAATTAGGTAAAAGTAGAATGTCATATCTTATTTTCCAGTTCAATGCTTCTTTTTCCATACTATGTGAATATCTACTTTTATTACCAACTCACTATATTGGTCCTGAAAGCACATAGTAGAGTATCTCTTTGCTTTGCATTGGTACTTATACTTGAAGATTGATTCAATGATCACATATACCTGGTTTCCCTTTACCCTCCAAACCCATTCCCATGGTACAAAAGACCCACTGATTATCAATTATTGGTGTTTCTCCTCAGTAGCACATTCAGAACATGAATATACAAGAAAGTAATCCCCACCTGGGGATGCCAAACCTAAATGATCTGAAGTGACTATCTCCATAGACTATATCCTCTAGTGAGTTCCTCCCTTCTGTATTGTTATCAGAGTTGCAAACACTCTGCTGTATTTGTTTGCAGCTTTCTTAAGGTGTAATTGACATACAAGGAACTGCATTATTTAAAGTATAAAAGTTGATTTTTGACATATATATACACTCTGGATATGAAACCATCACCAGAATTAAGATAAGAAACATACTCACCACCCCTCAAATTTCCTCATATCCTGTTGTAATATATTCCTCCTTCTATCCTTCTCCCCCGTTGCTGGCTCCTCCTGCTCTTCTTGACTTGGTTTGGTAGTATTAAAATGTTCCAACCCAAAAAGACAGCCAGACTCTTTGCATCTGAGCCAAGAACAGAAAACTTCCCTTGAGCCTGGTTTGCTTCCTCCTTTGAAAAGAAGCCAGATCCTCCCAAGGACCTTTCTTTGTAGCTGTACAAGAACAATTCCCAGACTACATCAAGGGCCTTAAGAAAGGAACTGGAAGATTGGAACACTTCTGTAAGTTGCAAGGAGGATTTTAAAGTGGGAACGTACTTGAGGATAAACTAAGTATAGATTTTGGGTGAAAACGTGTTCATTATTAGTGTTTCTCCTCAGTACATTCAGTAATCCCCAGGTGGGGATTACTTTCTTAAGGAAACATTTTTTTCTTTTATAGAACAGCATGAATTTGGAAAGTGGTGAATAAAAGAAAATCCCATTACCCTATCTGAACACTGTCAGTTATTTTGCATATTTTCCTTCTGCCTCCTCTCTCATCAGAAAAATGAATTACTTTATTAAAATTTACTTTGAATACAGCTTTGAATTTTGGTGTTTAACCTTTTCTCTACATACCTCCAGCACGCACCACCATAACATAGCAATGAAAACACGGGGTGTACATTTTTCTCAGGCCCCAGAGAAAGAATCAACATGTCTTCCTTTTTTTTCTTTTAGTTTTACTTATTTATTTATTAAAATATCATTGATATACAATCTTAACATGTCTTCTTAGAGAAAGTAGCTATAACATGTTAAGAACAAAAGCTTCATAATGTGGTTCTGTTAGCAGGTTCTAGAGAATTTGAACCTATAAAAATAGAGAAATATTTCTTCTCTGTGGAGCAAAAGTTTACAGCAGAAAAGAACAATCCCTGGGAAAATCCAATGGCTTAGCCAAAGGTATATGTTTGTGTGTGTGTATTGTGGTAGGTGTTAGGGATAAGGAAGCTTGTACTTGTCTATGTACACTCAAGAGTTAGCTTCCTCATTCCTAAAATCCCCACATTACCCTCACTAGATTGGAAGGACTCATTTTAGTGCTGATTTTCTATGTTTAGCACTCTGGCACTCTAGATAGTCACTCTAGGTGGAGAGTCTGCTGGTCAATTAGCATGCTGATATCTGATTAACTTTTGAAGTTGCACACAGTTCCCTTAACACCAACCAGTGAGTAATTACTAGCTAGGAACACAGCCTTAACCCTTTGTTTTCCAGCTCACCTACCCTGCACATCAGTGAATGTGGGCCTTCTACCAATATTCTTAATAATGTCTTACATGTGTGTAATACTTTATGTTTTTCAGTGCCTTTTCACACCTGTTGTATTATTTGACCTAATACTCTCATGATATAAGCAACAATTGCTGTCTCCACTTTGCAGCTTAAGAAACTATAGAAGGGCTTAAGTATCTTTAATTAACCAATTCATTTTTCTTAGACTAGGTCTATATATTGGGGGATGCTGAAAAGGGTATCCACCCCATATTTACTGGAGGCAGTGAGGTGTAATAAAATGTGTACAGTGTTGGGAGTCAACAAACCCTAGCACAGTGCCTGGCACAGAGTAGGCACTCAATAAGGATTCTGGTAAACCTGGGTTCTAGTCCTAAATTTTTCTATTAACTTACTGAAAAGTTGGTAACTTTTGAAGAGAAAGAGAACTTAAATTGATCTATACTTATCACCATCCCCCAATGTATAGACTTAGGCTAAGAGAAAGGAACTGGTTAATTAAACATGCTAAAGCCCCTCTAGTCTCTAGTTTCTTAAGCTACAAAGTGGTGATAACAACTTTTCCTTATATATGAGGGTATTAGGTCAAATAATATAACAGGTGTGAAAGTGCATTGAAAAATATAAAGTATTGTACACATGTAAGGTATTGTTAAGATTATTGGTAAAAGGCCCACATTCACTGATGAGGAAGGTAGGTTAGCTGGAAAACAAAGGGTTAAGGCTGCGTTCCTAGCTAGTAATGACTTACTGGTTGGTGTTTAGGGAGCTGTGTGCAACTTCAATGACTAATCAAATATCAATAGAATAGAGAGAGGTGCTTTCAGTTTGAATCTATCACTAGAGACGGAGGATAATCATTCTTATGTAACTAGGGGTTCTCATCAGCATCGATGGTTGCTCACTGTGTGTCTCTGGAAAATAATCTGATTGCTTACATCTCCAATTCCCTATCAGCAAAATGGGACAGTTGATTTCTTTCTCACAAAAGTGTTGTGAAGATGCATGAAGGAAAGGCAGAATATAATTTCAAGAGGCTGGATCAAAGTTAAAAGGGTTTTTCCCTAAAATCTTTTGAAGACTAAATTGTGTACCCTCAGGAACAGCCATATAAAGTAAACCCTCTTTCTGAGATTTTCACAAGGAAAGGGAGGATAAATTTTTTATTCTCAACCCAAAGGCAGGTAGGTAATTATGCTCAAGATCCTAATTTTTAAAATATGAAGATGTATCTTGAAAAAGAAAGGAAAGTTGTACTCTGATTGCATTCCTATTTTAGTGAAACTTTCTTTTAAACCATTTCAATTTAAAATGATTCAGAGTCCAGCTTTTTAGCCACTTTGATATGCAAACAGTACACTGGACCAACAGTCAGAACTCCAGACAACTCTGCTCATTGCAGTCCAAGTTGCGGGTTTGTAATCTGCAAATTGCAGCTCCTTGGGCCGCACTGCATTGACATGACCTAATGTAGGTAAAATTGAACAGGTTAAAGGTGATGGCAAGGAGAACCTATAGACTAGTAGTACACTATCCGTGTGCTCATCTTAAGTCTGACAGCCATTGAACTATAGCAGCAAATGGAGTAAAAGGACAGAAATGGGGAAGAATTTACTCTGTATGTTGGAGATCTGTCTTCCTAATGACTCCACTAAGATGACCTGTATTGTTCTGGTCTGATTTCATTCTTTGGGCAAGATTTGAAATTGACACTGCAGGCTGGAAGTTCTAAGATAAGATCATTGATGCCAGACAAGTATGATCAAGAGACAAAAATGGTCTTTTTTATTTATTATTTTTATTAGCCAGTGACAATGGATTCAGAATCATCTCCTGCTTATTTTTAAACAACTGTCTTCATTATGAAAATGTTGCTAGCTGTTGAATTCAACACCTGAAAGGGTAGCTAGAAATGGATAAATTTCTTACCTTTTTCCCATTCCCCAAAGACAGTATATAAGAACACACCCAGCATCAAATAACAAACACAAGAACACCTACACAAATGTGCCTCCTGGCAGAACTATTTTTTGTAGTTTGTTCACAAGCAAGTTTCTGAAATTGTGACTAGAGTTGCAAGGGCCTCTGATTTTAGCTTTTAATTATATAGCTTATCACCAAGCTTCCTGAATGACTGACATATAGTTTAGCACATAACAAGAATTTTCTGGGGATGATTTCTAACAGTAAGTGACTCCTGACTTATCTTCAACTGCGCATCCACTTGTTCTAAGTATTGCCTTAGAAGGAATTACATCCTGTCCCAACTCCTCTGCTATTGTCTTAGAGACCAAAAAGACAAAGCTAAAGGAAGGACACTTTCCATTTCTCTTTGCCTTTCTTTCATTCAGATACTATGACCTATTGTATCTCAATAGGCTGAAATCCATGGATAGCAGAAGAGGTGGTGAAAAAAGTGTTAGGTAGTTCCCCAGGGCTGATGGAGCCAGAGTCACTTTGCACCGAGCTTCCACTGTTCTCAAACTGGGAGATTTTCTTTTTGATCATTTTTCTCTCCTTTGCTCTGCGATTCTGAAACCAGATTTTCACCTGAAACACAAAATGCTTTGGATTTAATGGGGCAACATACTGAATTCAATTTTCTAAGTTACTGCTGATATTGTTCAGGGACTTTAAGCATTTACAAAACGTTTTCACATGCATCACTTCATTTGAGCCTCACGATGATGTTGTAAGGTATGCTCATTTAACAGGCTAAAAAAATGCTGAGATTAAGAGAGGGAAAGCATCTTGTATGAGACTAAACTGAGATCATGTCCAGGGCTGCTGATTCTGAATGCAGCACTCTTTGTATTACACCTCACCCACTATATCTGTTGCACAGGTAGAAATAAATAATAATAGAATGACAGATGCTGAGGTGTAGTGATAAAGAGGGAGGGATTTAAATAACAAAGGTGATTACGAACTGTCATTAAAAGAAACTTCCTAACAGTAAGGTTAGAGAAACAGAACTGGGTGAACAAGTTGATGAACTATTTTATCTCTTGCTGTGATAGTGATGTGCCTTCATACATGGTTGAAATACAAGCTGCATGGGATAAGGCAATACATTAATAGGCTTTACAATTCTAGAATTCTATGATTCTAGGGTTACTCCTAGACTTAAGTGAAAAAATATCAGGTAGCTATGAAAGTCAAAGATCAGATGAATGGAAACCAATGATCCTTGCCATGATTTAATCTTCATTGAATACCCAGTCAGCTTAATTTCAGGCAGGCATTGTAGTACTATGCAGACGATAGAAAATTAAATTTTGCTGCCCAGAGTAAAATAAAAACTTGGTTCACTTAGCAACATTGCTGTTCACTTTCTGCTGTAATTTGACTGATAGGAACCAGATAATTGCCGTAATTGCCAATCTCCACTTCATACATTGGTTGTGATTACTTGAGGGAACCAGATCAAGGTTTGACTTGACTGATCAATCCTATAAGAGTTTTTAATCCGCCTGTGCCTCCTATGTCCCCACCCCTTTGCTTCCACACTACACAGTGCCCACCATATTCAATTATTAATAAACCCACCAGCCAATGAAACTAAAGTAGGAGGTCTAGTAGGATGAATGTGGGCTTCAGGAGAGCTTGGAAAATACCTTGGTCTTCTGTTTACCTTCCATTCTTACAGACTTCCCTAAAACTTCGGCCTATTGAGATGACTGTATGAGACATATTGGATGAACTTGTGGTGTACCTGTCTTTCAGAAAGGCCCAAGTTGACTGCCAGCTCTGATTTTCTTCGAATTGTGATGTATCTATTGCAGTGGAATTCCTTCTCCAGCTCCAATCTTTGATGATCGGTGTAAACCACACGATACTTCTCTTTTGTCCTGGTTTTCCCTATTAGGGGAGAAAGCAGTACATTCAGATAGTATTTTGCTTATTTGGAGATTGTTTTGGATGAAGGAATCATAGCCACAGTTCCCATCCTCATCTATTACTTTCAAATATGAAACAAGTACATTTTTTGAACCAAATATGCCATAAGTCCATTTGTCCATTAAATACTTTGTTATTCGTGGCTATTACACACACACACACACACACACACACACACACACACACACACACACACACATGTATATATATCCAACTCACCTATCACACCACCAGTGACCTCCTGTAACACCAAAGTTTATTTTATTTTATTTTATTTAACACCAAATTATTTTAAAACAAACACTTAACCCATCATTTTCATTTCTTCCTCACTCACATAGTAGCAACATCCATTACACATGCACTTCCCTTTATATTTTATGCAGTTCATTCATACTGTTTCATATTGAACCTCTCACCTACCCTTTCAAATTATGCAGAACATGTCTTATCCCCACTTACATATAAGGAATCTGAGGCTTAGTGTAAGTAAATGGCCTTATGCTAGTAACCTGAGAAGTGGGGACCCAAACATATACCTTTGACTCCCAGTCCTGTGTACTGTCATTCCCAGTTTAAACATATTGGGAAGTATAAGAATGGCCCAAGTGTGGCAAACTACCTGTGATCCTAACATTTTTAGTTATATGTATTCTAGTTGTATATACATTTCAGAAAGAATTTCATTTGGATAGTAATTTTAAAAGAAAACATTTATTGTCACTTAGATTCAGTTCTAGGATAGCTCAATTACTTATTGGAAAAAACTAGTGTAGTTTTTTTCATGGGATCTTAAACCAATTTTTATTCCAAAGTAGATAATGAATGGGGGAAGGATGAGTTATTGACTTAGAAGAATAAAATAAGTATTCTAGTATCCTTTGAAAGGATATACAAACATTTGCTTTGTGTTACAACATTTAGCTAATTTTTCATGCTCTCCTTCAAATAGAGTTTTATTCCTCTTTCAAATTTTCCAAAGGTGATTTGGAAGTTTCCCCTTCTTTTCAATTTTTCTAACCCCGTCTAGGATCTACCTCCTTTTCCCTATGGCTTTTGGCAAGCTCCTTCTGATCTTCCTTGGTTGTTTTTGATGTAAGGTTTTGGGGAGCGATCTGTAGGACAAAGGTTTCTTTAAAGTAGTTCCCTAAACTCCATTGAGGTGTTAAGATGCAGCACAAGCTTAACAAAGGAGCTACATAGCATAAGATCCCATCCTGAACCCTCTTTACATTCAGGAACACCAGCCAAGTGGCCTGGAATTTACAAGCCCTAAACAAATGTCAGACACCCTTTCATCTCCAAGAAAAAAAAAGTTGGGGGGGGGGGGACGTGAATGTAGAAACAAATTTTAGATGCGAGGTATAGTTTAGGATTAAACTATATAGCTAAATAACTTATAGACTAACGAACTAACAAAACATTCCACCTTGAAAATGGAAAATGATGAGCCCCAGTCAGTTAACCTATCTCAAAGGCCCAAACTTTGAGCTGGTTTTATGAACCCAAACAGAAACCCAGGAAACCAGGAGTCTGGCATTTGGTATGTTAACAAAGGCCGAATGTAATATTTGAGGTCACAATGAAAACTCTGAGGTTTAGTTTATTTCCAGAACCTCAAATCTTAGGGTCAGAATATATCTTTGAAGAAATGTTTCCTAAAAGCCTTCCTAATCCCAAAGTGGCTGAGCGTTTGGATTCTAACTTGAGGCAGAAGTTAAAATTCAACTAGTGTGTGTCTGTGTTTTCCGCTGTTTGGTAATCAGTAAATATAACCAGACTTCAAGAACTCTGGAAGGATGCAGTCCTTCCCCTCCCCCGTTGGTCATAAATTCCCCTCTTGCAGTTTCTTCTGAGGACAATAAAGTCAAGACCAGGCCTCTTTATTTGCCATGAAAATCCTCACCCTTTCCGGCAATATAACCCCTGAAGAAAGGAGGGATGAGGGAGAGCCCGGCTGCATATCAAAGCCATAAGAAGTGTTAAAAACGGTCTGTTGCCCCAATCTGACAGATAAGACCTTAAACCTCAAGAAGATGTAGCTTAGGGGAAAATATTGACTGCACAGTTTACAAAGAGAAATGAATTCCCATTTGCTGGTGCTCCTCTTGTGTCCTTCCCCCTAAGCTATTTTCTCTCCATCCCAACCCCCACTCCAGTCTCATTGCCTCTCCCCCTTAAATGATGATATTCGATTAAATGGAATTTGGACATTTTCTAATAGAGCATAACGTCCATATTCGCACACCAAAACACCAACAAAGCACTAACAATACTGGCTTTTATTGTTGAAACTGTTCTCTTTTCCTAGAGACTACAACATTTCTGAGGGTGAGGGATTTTCTTCTCTGGTGCTATTCTGGACTAATTTAGCACAGTAACAAAGATTAACATGTATTAAAAGGCTGCTTCTATTCTTCCGTAGTGGGTATTTCATTGCCTTACCTCACCACTCTGCGGCCCCCTCATCCCCCAGCTAAGACTCATACAAACCTCTGTAGTTCAGGATGGATGGACTCCTTCTCATTACCCAGGAGATAGTATTCCCATAGAGTCTGCAAGCCAATGTTATCATATATGATGACTTTTATCACTCTAAGTGTTCTCATTTGAGAGACTGGCTGTGAAAGTGTTGTTAGGCAGAAAAGCACTCTCCAAACCTAGGGGTTATGATAATGATGACAGTAAGGGTAAAGATGGAAACCAATTTCCTTCTATGGGGAGTACAGTGCAGTTGACCTCATCATGATGCCTTTCCATTTTATGGTAATCCTTTGCTGCTTTTAGTTAAAAATTGCATCCAAATTCATTTATAAAAATTATCCAGTGAAATGATCAAAGCTAAGAAGACAATGATAAGCTTCAAGAATTATTAAGCAACTCATTTTTTGAAGTGTCCTAATTGAATAAAACCTTCTAAGTATAAATTTCTGTGTTTTGTCCAGTGGCTTAATCAGAATTACTCAAAGTCACTTCTTTCCCTATTTCCCACCTCTAACCATAAAGCCTCTCTCCAATATTGCTTAGGTTACCACCTTGCCAATACTCATCCAGGGCTACAACTTTGGTTAAAGAAAAGATGAAAAAATAATTCTCAGCTGTAATGCACTGACAATGTTTAAAATATGAAAATACTTAACTTTTCACAACTTTCCTGTTAGGTTCCCTTTCATATAATCTTTAAATTGAATATCTCACCTGATGTGTATTGGAACAGACCATTTAGGGAATGAAATGGAAATAAAACTCTTTTTAATCAATTCACCTAGGGGACAGTCATTTACTCCATATGTCGGTCCCCTTTCTCTCATTAGAAAATCAAATGTGATAATAATCACTATGAAATGTTTTCTGATAGTCATCTAATATGTGTATTTTTCTTCCTATAACTATTTAAAACATTCTTCAGTAATGGAAAAAGCTTAATCAGGGAGGGGTTACTTCAATGTTTTAGTTCATCTATTTTCTTCTCAGCCATAAGCCAAATGTTGTCCCACAATACTACAGAGTGAAGTAGAAAATTTAGGACGCTCTGACTCATTCATTCATTTAATTAATAAGTAAATATTTGTCTAATACTCATTATGAACTAAGCATACAAATGGATGCATTTTCATTTGCAGTGATCCAGTGAGGTAAGCAGCTTAACTTTTTTGTGGCATTTATAATCTGAGATCCCTGGAAGGGCTTCAGTGGGTTCATGAATCTCCTACAATTTTCATTTTTTAAGGGCATGTCTTGTGTGTGTGTGTGTGTGTGTGTGTGCATGTAGGTGGATTTTTGTCCATTTTTCCTGGGTAGAGGGTCCATCCTTTTCATCATATTCTTAAGTTGTTGCTAAAATATGTACCTTGGGCTACAAAAATATAGCAAAGATGTAATTTTAATTTATAAGACATTAAAATGAAACAAAGACGGAATTTAATAAAACCTCATCTATAGGATAGGCCACCAGGAGTCAAAGGTTTCCAAAATCACTCATTTTAAATTTCTCATAGAAGTTGGAGAGAAAAATTTTGTGAAAGTGGCATTGTACAGCCTGGTTTGAAGCCTCAGCTAATGATGAGGATACTACAAACTAAGGAGACCCTTTCTAAACTTCTCCTGGCATGGGGATTATCCAAGAAAGAGACTCTGGTTCATAAAGCAACTGCAGATAGAAGACATTTAAGCAGAGAAACCTGTCATATTTTTTCTTATAAACAAAAATTCATGACTCAGGAAAATTTCTTTTATCTTGTTCATCCCCCACCCTCCCCACTCCCGCACTATTATTTTCTCTTCTGAACAACATACTAGTGATTTTCCTCTTCTAAAGTATTTCAAAACATAATCCTGGACTGTGAGCAGTGACTTTTCTGGCTACTGTATCTTTTGCTAATAGTTAGGGTTTAGTGAATTGATGTTAATTACAACCTGAAGATTAGATGTAATAACAGCCTTGGGAGTACTAACCTCATATTCTATTCTATTGAGCCAGCTGACTCACCCATATTTCAAAAAAAAGAAAAAAGAAAAATGCAGCTTTACTTCCAAAAGCTTTAAAGCCAAGTATCTAAACTCCATTTTAAATCTGGGACTGCTACCCTAGTAATGTCCTAATCAACTGGAACTGCCTCCTGGTTAAGAGTCCTGCTGGTAAAAATTGGTCCCTTCCCACGCTGCTTCCTTTGCTTTTTGGAGGGGAGAAAAAGTGTGGAACTCTGAAAGAAACATAATCATTGTGGACAAACGCTATTGAAATGTCATTTCCTCCCCAGAGGGATGAAAGTGATAGAGTTGAATTTTACTAATTTTCTCTAATGACAGGGAGCGACGGATAGGAATAATAAGAATGTGATAAAAGAACAACTACAGCTGAAAACAAACATCTCCCCGCCTCCCCCAGTCTAAGACTAAAGCGGAGTGCCCACTTCTCCCGCCCTGACTCCCAGTAGTCGCCCACTGGCTTGCTGGTATGAGCGTGGGTGAGAATTAGGCTGAGATTCCCGGGCCTTTCCGCGCGCCGTCACAGACCTGCATCTAGCCACTGCGCCTCGGGACGCCTGCTTGCGTAGTCATAAGGGCTTTAACCACTTACTAGTGCTGGGGCTGATACTTGTAAGAGCTCAGCGGATTTTAGGGTTGAGTAGATTATAATGTCCCAGGGGCGTGCTGTAGCCTTCTCACCTGCCTTAACCCTTCCATTGGAGGAAAGGACATTTGAAGAAGGCAAAGGGTTCTAGTCCAGCTGGCTTATGCCAGCTTGAGTGAAGGAAGCTGGAGCTTCCTTGAGAGGCCAGGTGATGAGGCCACTTTGCCACTGGGGCTAACCTGGAAGGGTCCGTTGCCAGCCAAGCACCGTGAACTTAAATAGAGCATCACAAGTTTTTTGGGGAAGCCGACCCGCCCAGAAAGGGAAAAGGTTTGAAATCAAACGGCAAGCGGCTGTGACTGAGTGAGCATCGGGACACTGTATCTTCTTGACTCATTCAATCATCTGTCTTTCCCATGCATCTATTTTCCCAACCGCAGGGTTGGATCCTGATCCTTGTAGTTCAACATGCCCATTGTACACAGCTGGCTCCTTCGACTGATCCAGCGAATTGTGAAAATCACCCCTAGAGTGGATATAATTCCCTACGCCACACTCTGCGAGCTTTGAGCAGAGGCACATTCGAGGGAGGCCACTAATGGGCGGGGACCCTGGGCAGTCAGCCACGCAGTTTCTTCAGCTAAGCTGTCCCCGGGAGAGGCCTTGAGAAGTAGGAGGGCGGGTGGGCCAAGAAAAGTAGAGAAGTGAAGGAAGGAAAGGTGTGAGGGCATTGGAATCGATTACTCACCCGTCACCTGCACTGTCTTGCGCATCCATGCATAGGGGCTGTGGCGGCTTCTGCTGGGCGAACTGGCTTCAGCTGCGCCGACGTCTATGGGGAACAGCGACCCGCCGGCAGGGGCTGGCAGGCTGCCACCGCTGCTTCCACCGCCCGCGGGACCCAGGTTGCTGTATTCCGGTGAGCCAAAAGCGGTGGGGCTCGAAGTCACGTCGTTCATGGGCACCGCGCCCATTGTACTGGAAGGCCCAGGGTACGCACTCCAGTCTTCCCGAGGGGCACTGTAGTGTGAGCCCCAGGCCCCCAGCGATGACCCGTGAAGATCCATGCTGGGCATATGGGGATACCCCATGTAGTGAGTGTAGGCGGGGGCCACTGAGAAGTTGGAGGCTGGGGGATTCCCACCGTCCCCAGAGCCGCCAGTCCCAGCGGTGCCGCCTCCCACGGGGCTCCTTAGAGTGCCCGGGTACATGCCCGGATCTTTTTCCAAAAGGCAGCTTCTGTACATGGTGGCTTGGGTATGAGGAAGGTGCTCCCTAAGCCATTCTGAAGTCCCTGCAACACCCCAAACCGACTTTGAGAAGCAGCCGGGAATCAGTCAGTCTGGAGTTGTACTGCACGCTCTCCCGTGCACCTCAGACTACATCCAGCGTTTCCTACCCTGACGGTTTCCAGGTGACTGGTAGCCCGGTATAGAAGGGCCACCAATGGCTGGGCTGACGTCAAGGAGCTTCAGGCTTTTACATAACATTTGCATTCAAATGAAGAGCCATTTCACTTTCACAGGGACTTGTTCACTCTACGCTCCCTCTCCCAGAGCTGCCAGGTCTGTCTGTCTCATCTTTCTCACTTTTGTCCATCTGGTCCACATAGCGCTAGTCTTATGCCTTTGAAGGCAGGAAGCTACAGGGGTTTCTGACCAGCTCCCTCCAAAGTGAGATGGAGACATGCAGAAGCAGGGCCAAGTCCTGCTCTTTGGGATTCAGTCCTTACTCTGGGGCCTTTTCTCTTTTGGCTGATCTTGCCTTGCCTGAATCCCTGGTATCCTCTTTTCCCACATTCTCTGGCAGGGGTACTCCACATGGTACTGGTCCATGATACCACCGAAAAGTGCTTTACCTTCTCCTCATTGCCCCTTCCCCCAGGAGGAGGGCTTTGTTTCTAAGGATATTCATTTTACAACTATACATTGTATGCTCACTGTGTGTCAGGCACTGTTGTAGGCACTGGGTATAGAGCAGTGAACAAGAGACAAACATTCCTGCTCTGCCTTCCTAAGGTTATATTCTAGTAGGTGACAGGCTGGATTAAATCGATGTTTTACAAATATGCACAAATTAAAGAGAACTAAAGAGAATAGGTTATGAAAGAGAGGAAAGAGAGAAGAGAACTATGTGGGTAGTGGGCTTTCTTATTTTCATTTCAGTTCACTGATTTCTGGTGTCTCTTTCTGCTAGGTATGGCTTCTGCCTCAAAAAGCTAGTGCTCAAAGGTGCCAATTTCCTGCAATTTTAAATCCAGGGCAGCTGCAGTTTCCAACTTTCTTTCATACTTGAGATTTCCTTTGTAGAGTTCTAATTCTTGAAAAAGACATGGGCTTGCCAGTGGATGCCAAACAACTCAAGATTTTGGGTTAAGATTACCTCCTGACCACAAAATCAATCTGTGACCCAGTGTTCCTTCCCAGCTCCACCCTCTCCCACCCCTTCTTCCTCTCCCCAAACCTACAAACCTACCACAACCTTTAGCCAAGGCTGTGCTCCTACTCAGGGAATGTGCTCCTTTATAAAGTCCAACCTGACTTGGCACCCATATTAACTGATCCCTCTTTGGCTTTGGGAATGTCACTTCATCTCTGGGAGTTTCAAGGTTTTTCACTATGTAAAATAAGGTTCCTAAGAGTGCATTACTAGACAGGATTTACTAAGAATGTGTGCAAACTCCTTAACTTGGTACACAGTATGGGACCATTGTATTCATTAATTCCCTCAACAAATATTTATTGAGTGATAGGTGCTGTACTATGTGTGGAGACATCAATAGTGAACAAAGCCCTTGACCTTATTAAGCTTATATTCTAATGGGGAGACACTAAAAAGTAATTAAATTTTGGGGTATGTCAGATGGTATTAGTGCTGTGAAGGAAAAGAAAGCAGGAAAGAGGATAGGGAATGCAAGGAGGTGTTCCAACTTTAAATGTGGTGATCTGGGAGGACCTTACTTAGAAATGACATTTAAATAAAATAAAGAAGAGGTAATGGTGTGAGCTATGAGGAAAGAATCCAGATAGGGAGAACAAGTGAAAAGAGAATGTCTTCTAAAGGAAGACAATGTGGCTAAAGAGTAGAGGAGGTCCAAGAGTTAAGGGGGTGTGAGACATTGTAAAGATTCTAGTCTTTGCTCTAAGTGAGATAGGGAGACATTGTAGGGGTTTGAGCAGAGGAATGACATGATTTAAGTTTTGAAAGGATCATTCTAGCAGTTGGATTAAGAACAGAATGTAAGTGGGCAAAATAGATCAGGTTAATTAATTAAAGGGTTATTGCAATAATTCAGGTAAATGGTGTTGAGGATGGAGAGAAGTTGGATTCTGGATATATTTTGAAGCCTTCTTTGGAGAAGGAGAAGGAATAGAAGTAATTGTTTAGCAAAGACTAATTAAAGCCTGGCACTGGAGTGAGGGGCTAAGGAGTAGGAAAGTAACATGCCTATAGACACTTTGTACACATGGTCTCAGGTAATCTTCACAGCAGTCCCATGACTTATATATTATCATTCCTGTTTTAAAGATGAAGAAAGTGAGGCTTAGAAAGAGGTGGCATAACTATCTAAATAAACCACTGCTGTGTAGTAAAGCTAGAGTCCCATCCTAGGTTTCCTTGACTGCAAAGTTCATGTTCTTAAATTGGAACCAGGCTAAATGTGCAACCTCAGTGATTAAACCTGGTGCTGGGCTTCTATTTCCTTTCTCTGCTCAGGCTTCCAAGTCTGGCATTCAATACTCTTCATAACACAGATCTAATTACCTTTGCATTATTCTCTTTCACCAATTCTATCCTGAAGTAAAGTGGTCTACTTCATGCTTGAAAAATTATGTCCAGATGGAAGCACATGGAGGATCTTTAAAAGTTAGCTAACCCAATATTATCCTTTCACTTATGAGGAAACTGAGGGCCTGAGAGGGGAAGGTATTCTTTTATTTATATTAATGTTTTAACTGAAATATAGTTGATATACAATATTACATTGGTTTCAAGTATACAACATAGTAAATTCAACAGTTACATACATTATTAAATCCTCACCCCAGCTAGTGTAGTTACTGTCAACACAGAAAGATGTTACAGAATTATTGACTATATTGACTATATTCTGTATGCTGTACTTTCATCCCTATGACAAATTTATATTACGATTGAGATTTTGTGCCTCTTTATCCCTTCACCTACTTCACACTCCCACCCTAACCCCTCCCCCATGGTAACCACAAGTCACTTCTCTGTTGTCTTTGTTCATTAGGTTTGGTTTTGTTTTTAGATTGTACATGTAAGTGAAATAATATGGTATTTGTCTTTCTCTGCCTGGGTTATTTCACTGAGCATAGTACCCTCTAGGTCGATCCATGTTGTGGCAAATGGCAAGATTTCTTTCTTTTTTATGGCTGAATAATATTCCATTGTATATATATATATACAACATCATCTTTATTCATTTCATCTATTGATGGACACTTAGGGTGCTTCCATATCTTGGTAATTGTAAATTGTAAATAATACAGCAATAAACATAGGGGTGCATATATCTTTTTCAATCAGAGACTTTGTTTTCTTCAGGTAAATTTCTAGAAGTGGAGTTACTGGGTTATATGGTATTTGTATTTTTAGTTTTTTTTGGAATTTCCATACCGTTTTCCATAGTGGATGCACCAATTTACAATCCCACCAACAATGTAGGAGACTTCCCTTTTCTCCACATCCTTGCCAACACTTGTTGTTTCTTGTCTTTTGGATAGTGGCCATTCTGACTGGTGTGAGATGATATCTCATTGTGGTTTTGATTTGTGTTTCCCTGATGATTAATGATAGGGAGCATCATTTATGCACCTGTTGGCTGTCTTTGTCTTTGGAAAAATGTCTATTCAGGTACTCTGTCCATTTTTTTAATCAGATTATTTGTTTTTTGGTGCTGAGGCATATAAGTTCTTTATATATTTTGGGTGTTAACCCCTTATTGGATATATCAATTATGAATATATTCTCTAGTAATGTAGGTTGCCTTCCTTTTTCTTTTGTTGATGGTGTCCTTTGCTGTACAGAAGCTTTTCAGTTCGATGTAGTCCCACTTTTCATTTTTGATACTGTTTCCTTTGCCTCAGGAGATGTGTCCAGAAAAAAATTGCTCATGATTATGTTCAAGAGATTTTTCCCTTTATTTTCTTCTAAGAGATTTATGGTTTCATGTCTTATATTTAGGCCGTTAATCAATTTTCAGTCTAGTTTTGTGCATAATGTGAGGGAGTAATCCAGTTTCATTCTCCTGCATGTAGCTGTCCATTTTTTCTAACTCCATTTATTGAAAAAGCTGTCTTTTCCCCCATTGTATATACTTGGATCCTTTGTCAGATATTAACAGACCATACATATGTGGGTTTATTTCTGGGCTCTATTCTCTTTCACTGATCGGAGTCTATTCTGGTGCCAGCACCATACTGGAGCTTTGTAGTATAGCTTGAAATCAGGGAGTGTGATACCCCCAACTTTGTTCTTTTTCAAGATTGCTTTGGCTATTTGGGGTCTTTTGTGGTTCTATATGAATTTTACAACTATTTTTTATAGTTCATTGAAGAATTTTATTGGTATTTTGATAGGAATTACATTGAATCTGTAAATTGCTTTGGGCATGATGGCCATTTTGACAATATTAGTTCTTCCTATCCATGAGCACAAGATAGAGTTCCATTTATTAGTGTCTTCTTTAATTTCTCTCATGAGTGTCTTTAATTTTCAGAGTAGAAGTCTTTCACCTCATTGGTTAGGTTTATTCCTAGATATTTAATTGTTTTGGATGCAATTGTAAATGGAATAGTTTTCCTGATTTCTCTTTCTGCTAGTTTGCTGTTAGTATATAGGAATGCAACAGATTTCTGTATATTGATTTAGTATCCTGTTATTTTGCTGAATCCAGTTATTAGTTCTAATAGTTTTTCAGTGGAGTCTTTAGGGTTTTCTATATATAGTATCATGTCATCTGCAAGTAGTGACAGTTTAACTTCTTCCTTACCAATTTAGATGACTTTTATCTCTTTGTGTTGTCTGATTGCCATGGCTAGGACCTCCAGTACTATGTTGAATAAAAGTGGTGAGAGTGGGCATCCTTGTCTTGCTCCTGATTTTAGAGGAAAGGCTTTTAGCTTTTCACCGTTGAGAATTATGTTAGCTGTGGGTTTGTCATATACGGCCTTTATTATGTTGAGGCATGTTCCCTTTATACACATTTTTGAGAGTTTTT